ACAAGGTTCCTGACGCTAAGGACAAGGTTCCTGAACCTGAGGACAAGGTTCCTGACACTGAGGACAAGGTTCCTGACTGTGAGCACAAGGTTCTTGACGGTGAGGACAAGGTTCCTGACGGTGCGGACAAGGTGCTGACGCTGAGGACAAGGTTCCTGACGCTGAGGACAAGGTTCCTGATGCTGAGGACAAGGTTGCTGACGCTGAGGACAAGGTTCTTGATGCTGATTACAAGTTCCTGACGCTGAGGAGAAGGTTCCTGACGGTGAGGACAAGGTTTCCGACCGAAAAGACAAGGTTCCTGACGCTGAGGACAAGGTTCCTGACGCTGAGGAAAAGGTTTCTGTTGCTGAGGACAAGATTCCTGACGGTGAGGAGAAGGATCCTAACGCTGAGACAAGGTTCCTGACACTGAGGACAAAGTTCCTGAGGCAGATCTAGAGGACAAGGTTTCTAACGCTGAGGACAAGGTTCCTAACGCTGAGGACAAGGTCCTAACGCTGAAGACAAGGTTCCTGACGCTGAGGACATGGTTCCTGAGGCTGAGGAGAAAGTTCCTGACGCTGAGGACAAGGTTCCTGACGGGGAGGACAAGGTCCCTGAAGCTGAGGACAAGGTTCCTAACGCTGAGGACAAGGTTCCTAATGCTGATAACAAGGTTCCTGATGCTCAGAACAAGGTTCCTGAGGCTGAGGACAAGGTTCCTGGCGCTGAGGACAAGGTTTCTGATGGTGAGGACAATATCCTGACGCCGAGGACAAGGTTCCTGATGCTGACGACAAGGTTGCGGACGCTGAGGAGAAGGTTCCTAACGCTGAGGACAAGGTTCCTGACGCTGAGTACAAGGTTCCTGACGGTGAAGACAAGGTTCCTGATGGTATGAACAAGGTTCCTAACGGTGAGGACAAGCTTCCTGACGCTTAGGACAAGGTTCCTGACGCTGAGGACAATGTTCCTGACGCTGAGGACAAGATTCCTGATGCTGAGGACAAGGTTCCTGACTGTGACGCCATGGTTCCTGACGGTTAGCACAACGTTCCTGACGGTGAGGCCAAGGTTCCTGATTGTGAGGACAAGGTTACTTACGCTGACGACAAGGTTCCTGACGCTGGGGACAAGGTTCCAGACGCTGACGACAAGGTTCCTGACAGTGAGGAAAAGGTTCCTGACGGTGAGGAGAAGGTTCCTGACGGTGAGGACAAGGTTCCTGACGGTGAGGACAAGGTTCCTGACGGTGAGGACAAGATTCCTGATGCTGAGGACAAGGTTCCTGACTGTGAGGACCAGATTCCTCACGGTGAGGAGAGGTTCCTGACGGTGAGGACAAGGTTCCTGACGCTGAGGAGGTTTCTAACGCTCTGGACAAGGTTCCAGGCGCTGAGGATAAGGCTCCTGACGGTGAGGACAAGGTTCCTGACGATAAGAACAAGGTTCCTGACGCTGAGAACAAGGTTCCTGGCGCTGAGAACAAGGTTCCTGACTGTGAGGACAAGGTTCCTGACAGTGAGGACAAGGCTCCTGACGCTGAGGACAAGGTTCCTGACGCTCAGGACAATGTTCCTGACGCTGAGGACAAGATTCCTGATGCTGAATACAAGGTTCCTGACTGTGAGAAGAAGGTTCCTGACGGTGAGCACAACGTTCCGGCTGCTGAGGACAAGGTTCCTGACGCTGAGGACAATGTTCCTGACGCTGAGGACAAGGTTTCTGACGCTGACGACAAGGTTCTTGACAGTGAGGACAAGGTTGCTGACTGTGAGGAGAAGGTTCCTGACGGTGAGGACAAGGTTCCTGACGGTGAAGACAAGGTTCCTGACGGTGAGGACAAGGTTACTGACGCAAAGGACAAGGTTCCTGACGCTGAGGACAAGGTCCCTGACGCTGAGGACAAGGTTCCTGACAGTGAGGAAAAGGTTGCCGACTGTGAGGACAAGGTCCTGATTGTGAGGACAAGGTCTTGATTGTGAGGACAAGGTTACTTACGCTGACGACATGGTTCCTGACGCTGAGGACAAGGTTCCTGCCGCTGACGACAAGGTTCCTGACAGTGAGGACAAGGTTGCTCACGGTGAAGAGAAGGTTCCTGACGGTGAGGACAAGGTTCCTGATCGTGAGGACAAGGTTCCTGACGGTGAGGACAAGGTTCCTGATGCTGAGGCCAAGGTTGCTGACTGTGAGGACCAGGTTCCTGACGGTGAGGAGAAGGTTCCTGACGGTGAGGACAAGGTTCCTGACGCTGAGGAGGTTTCTCCCGCTCTGGACAAGGTTCCAGGCGCTGAGAACAAGGCTCCTGACGGTGAGGACAAGGTTCCTGACGCTAAGAACAAGGTTCCTGACGCTCAGGACAAGGTTCGTGGCGCTGAGGACAAGGTTTTTGACTGTGAGGAAAAGGTTCCTGACGGTGAGGACAAGGTTCCTGAAGGTGAGGCCAAGGTTCCTGATTGTGAGGACAAGGTTACTTACGCTGACGACAAGGTTCCTGACGCTGAGGACAAGGTTCCCGACGCTGACGACAAAGTTCCTGACAGTGAGGACAAGGTTGCTGACGGTGAGGAGGAGGTTCCTGACGGTGAGGACAAGGCTCCTGACGCTAAGGACAAGGTTGCTGACGCTGAGGACAAGGTTCCTGACATGAGGACAAGGTTCCTGACAGAGAGGACAAGGTTGCTGACTGTGAGGACAAGGTTCCTGTTTGTGAGGACAAGGTTACTTACGCTGACGACAAGGTTCCTGACGCTGAGGACAAGGTTCCTGACGCTGACGACAAGGTTCTTGACAGTGAGGACAAGGTTGCTCACGGTGAGGAGAAGTTTCCTGACGGTGAGGACAAGGTTCCTGACGGTGAGGACATGGTTCCTGACGGTGAGGACAAGGTTCCTGACGCTAATAACAAGGTTCCTGACGCTGAGGACAAGGTTCCTGACGCTGAGAACAAGGTTCCTGACAGTGAGGAAAAGGTTGCTGACTGTGAGGACAAGGTTACTTACGCTGACGACAAGATTCCTGACGCTGAGGAAAAGGTTCCTGACGCTAACGACAAGGTTCCTGACGCTGGGGACAAGGTTCCTGGCGCTGAGGACAAGGTTCCTGACTGTGAGGACAAGGTTCCCGACGGTGAGGACAAGGTTGCTGACGGTGAGGAGAAGGTTCCAGATGCTGAGGACAAGGTTCCTGACTGTGAGGACTAGGTTCCTGACGCTGAGGAGGTTTCTAACGCTCTGGACAAGGTTCGAGGCGCTGAGGACAAGCTTCCTGACGGTGAGGACAAGGTTCCTGACGCTAAGAACAAGGTTCCTGACGCTGAGGACAAGGTTCCTGGCGCTGAGGACAAGGTTCCTGACTGTGAGGACAAGGTTCCCGACGGTGAGGACAAGGTTCCTGACAGAGAGGACAAGGTTGCTGACTGTGAGGACAAGGTTCCTGTTTGTGAGGACAAGGTTACTTACGCTGACGACAAGGTTCCTGATTGTGAGGACAAGGTTACTTACGCTGACGACAAGGTTCCTGTTGCTGGGCACAAGGTTCCCGACGCTGACGACAAGGTTCCTGACAGTGAGGACAAGGATGCTGACGGTGAGGAGAAGGTTCCTAACGGTGAGGACAAGGTTCCTGACGGTGAGGACAAGGTTCCTGACGGTGAGGACCAGATTCCTGATACTGAGGACAAGGTTCCGGATGCTGAGGACAAGGTTCCTGACGCTGGGGACAATGTTTCTGACGCTGAGGACAAGGTTCCTGACGCTGAGGACGACAAGGTTCCTGACGGTGAGGACAAGGTTCGTGACGCTAAGGACAAGGTTCCTGACGCTGAGGACAAGGTTCCTGGCAATGAGGACAAGGTTCCTGACTGTGAGCACAAGGTTCTTGACGGTGAGGACAAGGTTCCTGACGGTGAGAACAAGGTGCCTGACGCTGAGGACAAGGTTCCTGACGCTGAGGACAAGGTTCCTAACGCTGAGGACAAGGTTCCTGACGCTGAGCACAAGGTTGCTGACGCTGAGGACAACGTTCCTGACGCTGAGGACAAGATTCCTGATGCTGAGGACAAGGTTCTTGACTGTGAGGACAAGGTTCCTGACGGTGAGCATAACGTTCCTGACGGTGAGGACAAGGTTCCTGACGCTGAGAACAAGGTTCCGGATGCTGAGGACAAGGTTCCTGACGCTGAGGACAATGTTCCTGACGCTGAGGACAAGGTTCCTGCCGCTGAGGACAAGGTTCCTGACTGTGAGGACAAGGTTCCCGACGGTGAGGACAAGGTTCCTGACGCAGAGGACAAGGTTCCTGACGCTAAGGACAATGTTCCTGACGCTGACGCTGAGGACAAGATTCCTGATGCTGAGGACAAGGTTCCTGACTGTGACGCCATGGTTCCTGACGGTTAGCACAAC